TTCAGAGACAGGTGTCATTGGAGGGAACTGGTTTTACAAAATTGCTGAGTCATACAAGAAAAAAATCAGAAGCTGTATCATCTGGAAATTTTATTTGATGCTGCATCTCTGTGAGTTCTTTGTTAATTGAAATAGCAAAGGGAGAGTCAGAAGTGCTGCTTATAGACAGAAATAAATGCTTGCAGCTAATGCGAAAGTAATAAACTAGAACATATATTTCTTTTGAGGGAATTTTTTTCCTCTTTTTGCAAAACTGATTTTGGGTTCTCTGTTAGCTTTCCCAGTAGGAAACAAGCCTCTGAGTTTTTCCTCTGAAGTTCAAACTCTGAATTCTGTTTTACTCCTGCAGTCATTGATGCTTGTGCTAATGAGAGACATGGCTGTGAGCACCAGTGTGTTAATTCACAAGGCACCTTCATTTGCCGTTGCCGGACGGGCTACCAGCTTAACCAAGACAAGAAGACCTGTAGCAGTGAGTAAAATCTGTATTGCTTCAGCAGCTATAGAGAGAAATAAGGAGAATCTGTGGGCCCTTTGATGTTGTTGAACTAGAATTCCCAGGAGCCTCAACCCTGCTGGCCAAGGAAAGGGAGGTGGTTATCGTAGTTCAACAATGTCTGGGACATCTCAAGATTTCCGCACTGTATTAAATATACTCTTCTGTATTTTATGCCAGTGTTGTTTGATGTAAAGGAAATAGAGCCCTCTTGCAGGAAGGCAAATGTTTGCAGCAAATGCTGGATGTTGAGTCCAGCCATTGTGTTAAAATCAACAATGCAGGTTGTTTTATTGCACATGTGGTGAGGTCCTCTAATGGTTTCTTTCTTCTTTCAGTGATCAATTTCTGCAATTTCAACAACCACAGTTGCCAGCATGACTGTGTTAATATAGTCAATGGATATTATTGCCGATGTCGCGATGGCTTCACTTTGCAGGCAGATGGCAAAACATGCCAAGGTACATTTTATATATGGCTGGCTGTGGCTTTAGAGTTGTGCAAATAGTCATCCACTCGAGTTATGAATATGATTCTAATGCTCTACAGTAGATCAGTGATGGGTAACCTTTTTGTAGCTGTGTGCCGAAAGCGTGCGCATAATACAATTCATGCATGTCCCCATGTGCCACCACATGCACATGTGAATCCCTGCATGCACACAACTCCTGCTGCATGCCATAACCCACCCGCGCTCCCCCCTGGCCACTGCACATGCACAGTAGAGACCCAAAAACTAGCGGGTGGGAGGCATGTGCAGATGCACAGTGGAGCAGAACTATAGTGACGGCTCGCGTGACGGCAGAGCAGGTTCTACATGCTACCTGTAGCATGCATGCCATCATGGCTCTGGATTAATAATGAATGACTGCAATACAAAACATGCTCTTTAAAAGTTTGGAGTATTGTGAAACGTTGAGAAATATGTTGTTCATATATTTAATATTTCATCTATAAAAAATCCCTGTTAGAAATATTCCTTTGGTTTCATGAGAGGTATCATCAATAGGTTGATGGTGTTTGATTTTTTTTTAATTAACATTTGTAGGCCACCCTTTTCCCTGAGGGGACTCAGGGCGGCTCACATAAAATCAGGGAGGGGAAGTACAAACAATGACATAGACACATA